ACCACATGGAGGTCCATGGAGGTCCCGGCCCTGACACAGGGACACCCCTCTTGGGCAGAGACTTCAGAGTGGCTGGTTGGGGTTAGGCACTGGGTTAGCAAGCCTTCGTGGTGTCCTAAGTCTGGGAGTCGTTAGCGCAGGGCTGGGCTACCAACTCCATCACTGTTTGAAGGGAACAGGCGAGCTGCAACCGGGGAGCCCAGCTCAGTTGAGCCAATGCAATCAGACATCGGATACCCTCATTAGCGGAGGATCTGGTGTCCCTTCGCATTCGTCTCCCTAGCAGGGTTCCGAAACTCTGCCTATTCCCTTCATGCTTTGGTTTCTCTCCAGGCTGTATAAACCATTCGCTTATTCCATTCTGACAGCAATAATCAGACAGGGCTGAGCCACCGTGTTGACTGGGCATGATGGGCTTTGTTGTCCAACTCATCCGGGAAGGTACCAGGCTAGAGAAGGGTGCTTTAGATCAAACATCCACAGAAGGCCTCGTCTTTTCCCTACAACCATGGAGCATTTGGTGGTTTCTCAGCTTCTGCTTGCCCTCGACTCCCCACTGCATTTTAGCAGGTTGAAACACTTCTACGACACCGTTACTGGTAGTAAGAGCCTTAAGCTAGAATTTTGACCCCACCTCTTTGGTCTTCCCCTTCCCACCACTGGAGTGTCCTCCCCCACCCCCCCAAAAAGCATCTCTGAAATGGAAATTGGCCCTGGACTGAAATACATTATGATTAGATTGATTCATTTACTATATTTATATCCCACCTTTCTCCCACTGTGGAACTCAAGGTGGCTACGTGTGCTTCCCAGGTGGTCTCCCCTCCAAGCTCAGGCCAGCCCCAGACCTGCTTAGCTTCCACATGGTGGATGCCTTATGTGCCTCCAGACCATATGCTGGGCCATACATCTCAGAGGTGTCCTCAAATATTAGGAATAGGTGTATTAAAAAAGTTAAAAATAAAACAGAATAACAGGGGGAAATCTTTTAGTTCCAAGGGCCTGACAAAGCACTGCTAATATGGAACCGTTTCCTCATTCAGCGTGGACAGTGTGGAACGCACAGAAAATAGGCGGCTGTTGTCCTGAAGACCTTTTGCTTTGGCTCCCTGTGCCCCCACGGACCATCTGAACACTTGCAGGTGAGTCAAAGTTTCCCTTTCTTCTCCATACTTAGCCTCACCCAATGCAGCAATCCACACTTAAGGACTGAGTGAGTCTTGTCTTTAAACATGTGTTACCATGTTACCCAAACCCAACTGATATAACAATGAGTTGTTTGTGGTTAACTAGCCATGGTTGTTTGCATCTTTTTCAGATAACACAATAATCCACATTTTATAAGCACAATTTTATTTTCTGCTACAGCTGGGCCAGGGGTGAGGCCTGCAAGCCACACACAAATGCATATTTGATTTTGTAAGATTGGCAGACCATGCAATATTCAACAATAAAGGCATTTCCCCCCCTCAAATAATTAAACTAGGAACTTGCTCTTCCTATACCTGTGAAAGAAGATTTCTCTCGGCATGGTAGTACTTTCAACTCTGAGCAGGTGCAACTTTCAGATAGATTCAAGTACAAAGAACAAGGCATCAGACATTCTAAAGACAATCATGCTGCTTATGTCCGTGTCAAGAACTAGAATGTCCCAGACATTGAGTGCTATATTCTAGATATCTGTTAACTGTAGGCCTTTAATGGCACGTGGAAGAGGCATGGACTTTTTCATACCTTTATGACTTCCTGAGGCGCCTTTGAGGAGGAAACGCGAGATTTTGCTTGATTCCCCCGGAAATACAGACAACTTTTATAATGATCTTTTTTTAGCTGTAATAGATTTTAAAATGATAAGATTCAACACCACTATTTTTCCCATGGCATCACCACCTGCATCCCCGGGAAAGCCTCACTGGCAAATTTCTGCCTGTCTGTCAGGAAGCATCCCAAAAAGGTCGGGTTGGCAACTGTAGAAAGCACATCAAGAGTTTTTGCCAGCCCGTGATTGCCAAAGTAATTATGTGCACCCATGAAGGCACTAGGGCTGTACAGTTGCTGTACGGTAGCAAGACAGGTGCCCTCTGCTGGCATCTTTGAACAAAGCAAGCCGAAGTATTTGTTCAGTTGGGGTGCAAGCCCATGCATATTTAGATAGAAAAAGCCCTACATTTCCCAGCTGTGCTGGCTGGAGAATGCTGGGCACTGGAGGACTTCCTTTCTGTCTGAACATGCATTGGGTTGTATCCTGATTTAAGCATTTTCGTCCAACTCTTGCTGTGGGGAAGGGAGATTTTCCTAGCATGGTTTTTACCAGGGCTTTTTTTGTCAGCAGAACGGCGTTCCAGCTCCTTTTTTTCAATGGATTTTACGAAGTGATTTTCAACAGCATAGCAGATCAGCAACAAACATCATTAACATAGTGCCTGCAGACCGCTGTTGTGTCTGCGATCTGCTATCTGATAGTGAGAGAGAGCTGCTTGGGATGCTGCTCCACTGCTCGGCTTGGGATTGGTGTGTGTGCTTACTGCCGGCGGCGACGTGAGTTCCGGCACCATTTTTTTTTTTTTTACAAAAAAAGCACTGGTTTTTACAATAAGGATGAAAATATCACACACTGTAGCGTTTCCTTGCCATACTGACTCAGACACACAAGAAACCTCACTCCTCTTTCCTTCCACATCCCAACTGGCCCATCACAAAGGTGTGGATATACATTTAGACACTGGACGTGTCCCCACCTCCATGGTGGGCCCAACCCTGTGTCCCATCTGCCCAGTAGAGCTTGGCCTCTGTTCTTTGCACCCGAACTCTGTTTGTTCTGGTCGTCACTGCACAGCTCCCTCTGAGTAAGTGGCTACAATAGCCGTGGGCCCCGGAGACTACAGCCCTGAGGCACACGTGAGAGCAGCAGCCGGCAGGAGCAAGATCGTCCATCCTTCCCCAACCCTGGGCACCTCTACCTGGATGAGAAGCACCCGGACGGAGCCCTGGGACTAGCTGGCCAGTTTGCAGAGACCGCTGCCTCTTGAGCAGCACTTAGTATCACACGTTTTGCTACTCTAGAGCATACGAAAAGTGGTTGCTCTGCCTTCACTTTCAATTTGCTTCTCCGTTTCTTTAGGCAGGCCTTCTCTGTTTTCCACATACGAATACTATGAAGCACTTCTACAAGACCATCTCATTCCTTTGGGTCCTATTTGAAGGTATTTCCTGAATTCTACAGTGCAATCTGTCTCTATAACACTTCCCCAGCTTGCAAAATCGCAACTTGACAAACCCGCCAGGCCTGGATGGTAGCCCTCCAAAGACAGGGTAATCCGAGTGGGTGTCCTGCTGCCTGCAGACCAAAGAGACATAGGACATGGGTGATAAGCTTGTTAAAGCAGAGCGCATGATAAATTGCACAGGATTATACCTAACAGATCTGCGTGGAGTGCTCCAATCTCAGGAACACCTGGCCATTTATCCTAGTTTTATAGAAAGGCCAATTCTGGAAGTGATGCTGGTCCTCTCTTTAAAGTCATCCTCTAGTTGAAGGGCTGACAGTCCCCTTCCTAAAGGTGCCCTCTCTTTGAAGGACTGTCCAGTCCAGATCTGGTTTTTAAAAAGCAGGGAGGCTTCCCTCGTGCCTGCAGTGCTGGCAGGGAAGAAGAGAACCTTTGAAGCTGCCCATCAGCTGCTATCACATTAGCAATTAGACAGCAGACAGAGGTGACACGGGTTACCTAGTCAGCCTTCCCCCGGGTGGTGAGATGCATTGGTATTGGGTCTCTAAATTATAGTAATGGTCTCTGAATTATAGTAATTATTTCTAAATTTGCACCAATCCATAAAATTAGCACCTGGAAATTGTATGCAAATGATAGCTTCCTTAGCCACTCATTTTAGTAAGCTGCAGTTGAGGGACACATAATCTGGCTAAAATGGGGGAAAGTCAGAGGGAACATGTAGCTTTCACTCCCTAATTCAAGCACCCTGTGGAAAGATCCAGGCAGACCTTTGCAGACTCATGGAAAGTAGTTTCACATTTTTTTTCCACCTCTTATCTATGACCTAGTTTCCCACTTGGCTGGCCATGGCGCAGTGGCCAAATAAATGCACAGGGTCCCAGGGGGTTTAGTTCCAACATGTCCATGTAGGCCAGGTAAAGATCCCTGTCCGAATCCCTGCAGAACCACTGCCCATCATTGCAGACCAGGGTAGGCAGCCCAGGGCCTTGCAGATAATCACTGGACTGCAGGTCACCCCAGCCAGCATGGCAGAGATCAGGGAAAATGGGAATTGTCATCCAATGTAATCTGGAGGGTGCCGGGTGCTTAGCCTTGGGTCACACTGAGCTGGGCTAGTTTGCGCAGCCATCTGACTCAGTATGAGGCAGCCCAGCTTCTTGAATTTTAAATGCTGAACACATTTGATAGTCAGAAAATGATAGATAACTGCTAAATGGATGGGTGGGTTCTTCCAGCACCAAACCAATATGAATCGTTTGGTCTTGGAAGCAGCAGCCAGACCCAGCAGTGCCCAAGTAGACAATATTCACCGTATCTCTTGGAGAAAATTGGTAGCAAGATCAAAGCAGCCAGGCAGATCAAGGGTGGAACTGAGTCCTGCTGACTGGAGCTCTCTCCTGCTAGGACAATAGGAGAATGTTGTCTCAGCAGAGAGCGAAAGCTGAGATAGGCTGACCAGAATTGTCATGCTGTCAGCTCCAGTCCTCCTGATGTTGTAGCCTGAGGCTGGGGAGATGGCATTTCCGCCATGAACTCATCTTCCAAGGCAGCCGAGTATGGCAGGGCTCTGGCTGGGAAGACTCCAGGGAAGGCCCTGACTGTTCTACCCCAGGGAATATAGCTTGTGCCTCACCCACAACAGAATCCTGTGCAGTTCACTCGAAGGGCTGAGAACTGGGGCTGGTGCTATGACAGATTCTGCTCCTCCAGCCTCACTCACTCGCTCCCTTCTCTCTGTTCCTCTTGCAAGTGCTCCTGGCTGGACCATGGAATGCCTGGATGCCCGAGCACATTCGTGCCTTTGAGGGCACCTGTGTCGTCATCCCTTGCCGCTTCAGCTACCCCGAGGAACTCCGTCCGTTGGTCGTGCATGGCATCTGGTACTTCAACAGCCCCTATCCCAAGAACTACCCCCCTGTGGTCTACAAGTCCCGCACCAACATCGTCCACGAGAGCTATCTCGGGCGCAGCCGGTTGCTGGGAGAACTGAATTTCCGCAACTGCACCCTGCAGATCTCCCGCCTCAGTCCTGAGCTCACTGGCAAATATTACTTCCGTGGGGACCTGGGCGGCTACAACCAGTACACCTACCCAGAACATTGCAACCTGGAGATCATCAGTAAGTTCCAGGCAGTGCCATCAGGGGAGGCCAGTTCTGACCACTTATTGCAGGTCAGGTTGTGGGAAACGGCCCCTTTCATCTGGGATAGGAATCCTTAGTCACTGAAGGGTGGGAGACTCCAAAACAAGTACAAAAGATAGTATGCCACTAGACAAGCCCGGAGTACGGTCTGAAGGCACATAAGAAGCCCCCTTGTTGAAGCTAAGCAGGTCTGGGGCTGGCCTGAGCTTGGAGGGGAGACCAGCTGGGAACCACATGTAGCCACTTTGAGCTCCATCATGGGAGAAAGGTGGGATATAAATGGAATTAATTAATATGTAGTTGACAAACCCGAATTGAATACTGTCCCTAGTGCTGGTGTCTGGGCAAAGAATGCAGCTGAGACTCACCACCTCAACTTGCCTGCTTGGAAATCAGGGTCACAGCTCAGTGGCCAGAGCATTTGCTCTGCATAGAGAAAGTCCTAAGGACTCTCCCTCCACACACACCCACAGACTTCCAAACAGTATCTCGGGCTTCTCAGTTGGGGAAACTGTTTGCCTGTGTCCCTAGGGCAAGAATATCTCACCTCTTTCAGGAAAAAAAAAACACAAAAATCAATTTTGGAGAAGTTCTTGGAGGACCCCTATTCCACTGGTGGGCAGGGCTAAAGGCAAATGAGCTAAAATACCAGAAATACCCAAAATAAAAATGCACCATATTTTAAAGTTCCTAAGTGAGTTTTCCAAGGTTTATTCCAATCTTTGAGAATGGGGGAAATGCTGCACAAAAGCCAGGAAAACACCTACCAAGTGGAGTTGGGCAGGAAGACATGGAGCTAGGAGAAGGTGGTGTGCACTTCTGGGGAGCCCCAGATTGGAACCTCAAGATTTTTCCCAAGAATAGCTGAGATTGAACACCCCTGCCCTAAAGAGCCACTGCCTGTCAGAGTTAATCCCTTTATGCTAGCATAGTTGCCTCTTAAGACAAATATGTGGCTTGCAGCTTTGGAAGGAAGCTCCAGTCAAGGTGTTGTGTCACGCTTAGTTGCTGAGACTGGTAGGAGAAAATTCAGTATACAAGCAGTGAAGTTCCAGAAATTTGGAGAGGGCCAAGACAAGCTACTCAAGTTCCAGTAATGACAAAGTTCAGACGGTGCAATTACACACACTCAGGGGTAGTGTGTGAGTTGTTGCTGAACCATGGATTGTCTTGACGTATCTTGTTGTCCAAAAACAGCTGCACTAACAAGCCATGGTTTATTAACCACGAACAGCCCATGAAAAGAACCGATGGTTTGCTTTTGGTTTGTGTATTGTGAGTTGTTCACCATGGTTTGTTATCTCTGTTGGGTTCAGAAAATAACTCATTTTCAACAACATCTCATGATTCTATGGCAGCCCACACTCAAACCATGCTCAACCCTTGACTATGGGTTATCGTATTGAGACTAATAGGCATGTGGACTTAACGCAAGCCACAGGGAGCTGTCCAGCAGGAACTACAGTACTGTCTACTCCCAGTCTCAGAATTAGGCACAGAATTTAGAGGCGCAGAAAAGCCATGCTGTTGCGCTAGTAAAAGATCCAGACAGAATTCTTTTCATGCCGGGCGTGAGGAAGGATATTTAAGGGTCGGACGCTAGAAATGAGAAATGCCGAAGCTGAGCTGAGTTGCTCTGTATGGTGAATCCTGCCGAGTTGCAAACCAGGTTGCTTTGATCCGGAAGGGCTTGGAGGCTCTGGGATGGCTCCAGCTGCTCATGCAGGCAGGTTTCACCTGGAAAGGCAATCGATGTGTTAACAAGCAACTGCCTTATAGATTATGTTTGTAAGGGTCCACTCTGTGGCTGTACTACAGAAACGGAGGTCCAGTACTCAAAAACAGGAACTGATGGGTTTCCAGCCTGGCCCATCATGGTCTCCAGATGGCTCTGCCCCATTCTCCTGGCCCCATCCCCTTTCCCCAACTGCCAGTCACCCAGTGGTATCCCAGCTTTGGTGCCATTTTCCCATCCTCATTTTTAAAGGTTGAGATGTCTCCCCTGCAAGTAACAGTTTTAAGCTAAAACATGCTGATATCTTTAGCTCCACCCCTAAATAATAATTGTGAGTACATAATCATGCTCGTGGTTTTCCTAGATGCATCTGGTTGGCTACTGTGGGAATCAGAATATTGAGTTAGAGTTTTGGCCTGACTGATCTGGGCTCTTCTTCCAGCTCTCAGCTTCAGACAAGGGAGTAGAATTTACTGGTTAGACCCTCTATGTGGAAGGAGAGACAGGGGCTTGGAGAGGCAGATCCCACCTTAGCCTAATCTCTGCCTCCTTTCAACCCCATAGACAAACCCACCATTGTGGTCCCCACGGAAGTGGTGGAGGGATCCGAGGTAGAACTGCGCTGTGTGGTGCCTGATAATTGCCCCGACATGAAGCCCATCGTCACATGGATGAACCACGAGAACCTGGCTGAGCATTCCGTCTATGCCCAGGTGGAGGAGGAGGATGGCACCTGGTCCCTCATCTCTCTGCTCAAGTTCATGCCGTTGCGGGAGAACCATGGGCGTGAGGTGGGCTGCAAAGTCACTTATGCCAACACCACTTTCGAGTTCGATGGCTTCTCTACCTTGGATGTCAAATGTAAGTTGGGGTTGCTAAGCAGGAGTCATGGGGCAGCCAACATTTTTGGTCTGGAGAACTTTGGAGGAAGTCTGCAGGGCAGGGGCTCAGTAACTGAACTTCCACTTTGCCCGCAGGAGGTCCCAGCTTCAGTCCCTGGCATCTCCTGATAGGTCTGGGAAAAATCCAGGCTAAAACCCCAAAGAATGGATTAGTAGTAAGCATTGACAGTGCCGGACTAGATGGACCAAGGGTCTGACTCTGACTCAGTGTAAGGCAGAATCCTGAGTTCCTATGCCAGGTTTGGTTGCCCTCAAAAACTGCAGTGGGGAGAGCATTGTTGTCTGCTTTTCTTTTCTATAATCGCATGGAAACAGAATTGAAACAGCAATTCAATTCAGCACTTAATAGTGCTAAAGCAACGGCTAAACCTATGGCCAAATCCTTTTAAAGGTTACATAGACAAAAAAAGTTCCATTAATGCAAAGGTCCCTTGCAACAGAAGGTTAGATTAGATGGACCTTGACCTGATCCAGCATGGGTTCTTAAATTTGAAAGCTTTCTGCATCTGCTTTTAATTTGTTTGTTTGTTTAAAAGATCTGGGGAAAGTTACAACTATGTTTGCCAAAACAAAAGAGGGAAATGGTATTTATTATTAATTTGTATGGATGTTTATATCCCTTTGAGTAGCTGTGTACCATTCAGATCAATATTGGAATGCCACAGCTTGAGCAAGGCCTTGAGAAAATCTATTTTTTAAAAAAGCCGTCTACTAGTCGATCCAATCCTTCCTGGAGGGAACTTGAAGACGTGCCCGGACAAAGCTGATCTCTCTGGCATTCTCCTCCAGACCCACCCCGCATCCTGCAGGTGAACTCCTCTGTGGAGGTGATCCATGGCTCCCAAGTGCTGCTGCTGTGCATAGTGGACAGCAGCCCCATGGCTCTGATCTCCTGGTTCAGAGAAGATGAAGTTCTGCACGAGGATGTGACTGGAAACCTCACGCTGCACCTAGATAATGCCACTCACCTGCATGATGGCATCTACACCTGCGTGGCGGAGAACATCTACGGCAAGGACAACCAGTCCCTGGCCTTGTCAGTGCTGTGTGAGTGGCTAGACCCTGAACTCTGTGGGATGGGGTGGGGCCCTCATCCTGGGAAGTTCTCTAGGGACTGACTGGAGCCCAGACGGGCCATCAAGAGGTTCAGTTTGGTCTTCGGAGGCTGCCTCAAATCCGATCAACTCTGCTTCGTCCTATCAAATCTAGGGGTCTCATTTAATTTGATTCCAGGAATAATTGAGACATGTTGGCTTTCCTTAGATGTTCTCAGTAGGATTGAGAGGGATTGCTCAGCTACCTTCTGAAACATGTTGCAGCAGCCTCTCCCAGTGTGGTGCTTTCTAGATGAGCTGGATGACAGCTGCCATCCTCCCTAGCCAGCAACAGGATTAGGAATTATGGGTATTAAGTCTGCTCTGATGGAAGTCTGGGATAGTGTGGTCAACCTTCTGACCTTGGAAGTCTACACCTAACATGGTCTTGGGACATCCCCAGGGAATGCTAGGTTTTGCTTGACATGCCAGTGATGGAATGGCCCATAGTAAAAGATCCCTGGTGGCATACCACCTGCCTTTATGGAGAAAGCCTCAGCTTCAGTTGCAGGCAGATGGATCAGATAGTAGGAGATGTGAAAGACTTCTGCCTACAGCTCTGAACAACTGCTGCCAGCTAGAACAACAATACCGGGCAAGATCGGGGCAGGCAGCCTACAGCTTTTATCCTAATTATTCTTAAAGTCTTTTGGAAGTGATTCGAACAGACTTCTGGGAAAATTAATCTGTCCCACCCCTGGCAGCCTGCTAGAATGGGAGGAAGAGAGAGGAATGGGAAGAGACAAAGGTATATATATCAGAGTGAAGGGGAAAGAAGTGGGAGAGGAAAGTGGGATGGAAAAAGAGAAGGTGGTGTCAGGGAAGGAGCGGGAGAAGGGGCAGCGGCAGTGGTGCTGTGGAGCTGGGACACGGCACTGGCACCATTTTCTTAGCGGGGTGCTGCTGCCACTGCCTTCAGGATTCCTTGTTGCTTCTCAGCTGAGTTCCAATCCTCACTGTAGCTGGAGGGAAAGGAACGTTCCCAGAGCCACCTATTGCTCCCTGTTGTGATGCAAAGGGTTTTGTGGTGGCTTGGTCTTGAGAAAGCAGTTCAGATCTTGATTGTCTTTACAACAGAGCTGCTCCCGACAGAGATAAAACTACTAGGACTGGCTTGTTGATACGGACCCAGAGAGCTGCCTGAAGGTCTGGACTCCCTTTGAGGGTGTAGCTAGGAGACAGCCACTGCTGACCACCTGCACTTCAGAATGTCCCACTGCCCCACAGGGTGGCCCCGTCTATGTTCGGCTATGGCCCCAGTGCCCTGCTGGCCTTAGTCTCTGCCTTTGCCAGTGTGTGACCCCTGCAGACCATCCCCAAAGGAAAGCGGTCCCCGTTTCCTTGTGCTTGGGCTAGGCATCTGGTCTGGTTTGTGTTGCAAATTCCAGATTCCTAATGAACAGATAACTCTACCAAAGGGACTTGAATGTGGGAGTCCAGACTCCAATTGGGTGGGAGCCCTCTCCCTGGAAGGGAATCTCCATCTCTGGTTTCCGAGAAAGGATTCCACCTGGATCCACCCAGGGCCACGATGTTTGGGGGGGGGGGGGTTCTAGATATGGCCTTTGGGCAGGTGATGCACCTCCTTCTTGGGCTGTCCCCCCTCTGCAGACGCCCCTTGGAAACCTGTTGTGAATACATCGGTGGTGGCGGTGGAGGGAGAGCCGGTGACCATCCTGTGCAGCTCACAGAGCAACCCTGAGCCCATGATCACCATCTTCAAGGACAAGAAGGCAGTGGCCATGGGAGTCTACCAGAACGAGGTGGCGCTGGAGTTTGAATCCATTTCCCACGAGGATGATGGGGAGTACTGGTGCACGGCCGAGAACCAGTTTGGCCAGCGCAGCACTGCGTTCAACCTCACCGTCGAATGTGAGTGCTGTCCCTCAGGCCCTGGGAGATCCTTGGGGTGCCAAGCACTTGGGGTGCCAAGGAGTGCTTCTAGGCAAGGCTTTAGCTGTGCCTCTTTCTCAGGATTTCAAGAGAGATCTTCAACGTGTAGCCCTCCTATGTTTTCCCACTGTTTCTACCAACTGATTTCTTACCAGGGAAAGAAACCAGAAGAGCTGCGCAATGCCTTTGGCGTACTAATACTATGCCTGGAGGCCTGCATGCATGGGAAGCACTAATTAAAGAGAAACCGTGTGTCTCTGAGCCCATCCCAGATGCCTCTTCTGCCAGTGTGGATGGAGCTTCAGAGCCACATTTCTCCCCTGCTTGCCCTTCTCCCCGGATTTGGGGTGTCCTGTTGCACATCAGCTGTTCTCTCTTTTCCTCTCTCTCCCCCGCCTCTCTATCTGCAGTTGCTCCCCTTATCCTTCCGGATTCCAAATGTACAGCTGCTCGGGACACGGTGAAATGCATCTGTGCAGCAAAATCCAACCCAGAGGCCGTGATCACTTTTGAGCTGCCCACACGCAATGTGACGGTGAACGAGACCGACCGGGAGTTTGTATACTCGCAGAAAACAGGCTACATCGTCACCAGCATCCTGACTGTTCAGAGGGAGGTGGACTCTCAGCTCTACATCGTCTGCTCAGCCCGAAACGTCTACGGCACCAGGAACCAGCAGCTGCAATTCCACCACTCCAGTGAGAGTCCCTGCAGATGCCTGCCCAGGCTCCCATTGGCCCTGTCCAAGCGGGCACCAAGGGCTGCCCTTGTCCTGTCAACCCTCTGCTGAGGCCCAGACTGCAGCGCCTCTGCTGCTGAGACACCGCCTCCCGTGTCTCCTGCCTGCTCCTTGCTGCTGCCGTTGCCTTTCCTCCATGCGACGCGAGCACAGAGGAGAGAGCACCTCCTTGGCTTGTCCTCTCCCTCTGGAGAGTGGTGGATTAGGCCCAGAGGATCAAAGCGAGCTGAGAAGGAAAGGGCGGAGGGGTTGGTGAGGCTTAGCTTGGAGGAAAGACAGTTGGAGGGACCCCCATTGTGAGACCCCTCTCTAAATACTCGAAGGGCTGTTCCTAGATCAGAGGTGAGCAGAAGACAGATCTCACCGAAGCAGCACCCAAATGCCAAATGCCCACCTAAGCAGGTCTCATGGGTAATCAGAGCCACCATCTTGTCAATGTGCATCAAGAGAATATCTGTGAGCCCCTAAAAGCAATCAGCAAACATCTTCAACTCGCTCTGGAGGCTTCAGGGAACCTGTAGGCCAGCACATGGCCACCGCTTCCATTGGAGCAGCATTTCCATTCTCTCGTGTGTCCACATACCTGTGCATAATTAATGTAATTAATCTATTACAGTCATAGACCAGCAAAAACAACACAACAGATTAAGCAATGCTTTTCCAATTAAAATAACAGTTTAAAATGAACTTAAAAACAAAAAGTAAGGAATGAACACTAAAAATTAAAATAACCTAGGCCACAAAACTAAGACGTATACTGCCACAGGGATGTGCATATTGGTAATATAAATAAAACTTTTGTTCAAATTCCCTACAATCTGAATTGTATACAAGGAATAGATCTGTTATTAAAGCATGAGATTCCCTTCACCTACGTATTGCCCTGCAGAAACTGGCTACTTGATGTGTGATCTTAGCATCTTTGTCTGAGAGAAGGAACTCAAGGTTGGCTTTTCCAGAAAGAATCGGATTGTCCCCAAAAGGAGGAATAATGAAATCAATACCCGTGCATACAGATTGCATAGGAAAAATAGTGGCCGGGCTGCATGCCAACCGGAGCGACAAACAAACACAGGCGGCGAATATGCTTAGTGCGGCCGCAGCTAGCACACGTACGCCTCTTGTTCTGGCCTGGGGCAGATGGGTCTGGCCAGGTGGCCGGAGACATACTTTCCAGCACGCAGCTCCCCCAGCCCTGAAGGTCCCCACACCCTCCCCATCCAAGCAGGGCTGGATGCACCTGATTTGAAGTACATAAGAAGAACCTGCTGGAACAGACCAAAGGCCTTCGTCAGCCTTCCCCGATCTGGTGTATGCCAAATGTTGCTGCACAGCAAAGGTGTGGCAAGCCGACACATCTGGGAGGACCAGCCTGAGGAAGGCTACCCAAGCCGCCCAGCATTCCTTTGCCCCAAAGGCAGTGGGCAGGTGAGGGGAGCCTTCTGCTTGTGTCCCCCAGCAACACACATTTGGAAGCACACTGCCTCCAAGACTCAGGTCCTTCATGGCCACCGCTCCTAGCATTTCCTGATGGCCCCGTCCGTCCAGTCCTCAGCTCTTCCTAGCCCAGGGGACCATCAGGGATGCTGTGAATCTTCCCCACCTCCGGCCCGTGCCCTTCCTCTGCATCACCACCCTGACGTTTTAATGCCTTTCTCCTCTGAGGGCAGGGACTGCCTCGTTGCCAATTCTCTGCGTGTGTCTTTTTCTTTTCCAGACAGTCTGATGTGGGCAAAAGTGGGCCCTGTGGGAGCAGTGGTTGCCTTTGCCATCCTCATAGCTGTGGTGTGTTATGTCAGCCAGACCAGGAAAAAGTAAGTTGGACATTGGGGTCAAGTCCTTCTCCCTTCGATGCCACCATTTCTTGCTGCAAGAGATCCGGGCCTGAATTCAGGGGCAATGCTCTCCAGACCTCTGAATGGCCCTTGATGACGAGCCAAAGCAATGGAAATGCATCACCAAAAAAAGAGGATGCCAGCCTGCAAAAAATAATCCGCATGTTGATGTATATATTTAAACATAGATATTATTGTTGTAATTTAAACAGAAATACAAGCTGTCTCAGTATACTCTGAAAAACTGAGAGCAGGTGGCCTGGTTGTTGTCTAGCCACTCAGCAATGATTGGCAACATCAAGGTCTAGCTCTTCCTTCTGATGGTGCTTCATCTTTACACCAGAGTTGGACAGGACAGCCCTTCAAATAGAGGGGACATGTTCAGAACAGGAGACAATTCTCTAGTAGTCATTTAAATAGAAGACTGTAGGAAGAGGACACACGGTCACCTTACTTGGAAGTATTGACTGAATTCAAACTACAAGATTCATGGGTTGAGTGTGGGTTGTTGTCAGTCCATGAGTTACTGTTGAACTGTGGGTTGTTGTGTTGTCTGAAATCAGCTGGTCTAACAAATCTGGCCTTATATTGCCTGCCCATCACCAGCTAACAATGAGATTATCTGAGCAATAGTTATAAACGGAATATAATTAAGGATTTCTCAACAGTATAAAGATGTAAGCTTTTATGCTTGTTGGAGACGATTGATAAAAAGCCCTCAGGTTCTTAATATGCATAGGCTTGTTTGTTTGTGATCATGTAACTGAGCAACTAAATTGTTTTCTCATTACTGAATCAACCACAATCGCAAAATCAGAAACTCAACATGCTACATAAACAGACCACATAGAGTTCAGAACAATTATGTTAAACATGAAAAAATGAAGACATTGATTGGAAATGTGGACAACTTTCCCACTCTGAGTCCTTGACCCCCCCCTTTTTTTTTTCATTCCCAGGAAAAACATGAATGAAAGTTCTAGCTTCATGCAAACTGACAACCCTCCCGTTGCCTACAGTGGAGACTACAGGATTCCAGGCAACCTGGAGAAATCAGAGGTATTGACGAAATGGAGGGCAGGGTAGGCAGAAGCAGTGGGAAGTTCTAGGTGCTGGAGGCCTGTAGGCAAGATGCTCGCCGGTCCTCTGCATCCCAAGAGACGCACATCTTCTCTTCTTCCTCTGCACTATTATTTCTACCGCCCACCACTAGGTCCCCTTGCTTCTTCATCTGGGCTGCACGAGTGTAGGAGGGTAAGAGGTCACATTTCTCTTCTCACAGCTCACCAAGAGCTTCCCTACATGGAGTTCTAGTTGCTTTCATTTTCATTGCAGAATCCTGACCAGAGCACTACGCAAGCAGCATTTTGCTCCCTGCTCTTCCAATATACAACCTCTAGGTGGTGCTGTGGTGCTACAGAATCACACAATTACACAAGTGAAAATGGCATTTTCTTTCTTTCTTTTTTAAATCAATACAACATTTGCCTGCTCTGAAAAACAGTGAAAGGCCTGTTTTAAAGCAGAAGTGAATCTGAAGGGTCACTCTATTGTTTAAGGAAACCCAGCATAATAATGAATAGGGAATAATAAATACACAGTAAATGCATCATATAGAAAAACTCTTAACTTGGACAAGAACACTTAAGAAGGCAAAAAGGATGAGTTGCCAGGTCAAAAGATTTCAGCTACTGGCATCAGGGGCCTCAGTGGGTGCCCAGTGAGGTTGATCCCTGATGCCCGTTCTCGGCCAGGGGTTGGGGGTATCCACTCTATTGCCATCAGGACCCAGATATGCTGCAATTGGTCAGATGTGCCAATTCCAAATGTGTCCAGCAATATCCATGCCGATCAAATTTTGGAAGGGGCAAATTCAGCTCCTGTCTGGGTTTAGGAATAATGCCAAAGCCAGTTTGAATGGTCTGTGATCCTCGTGCAGCCTACACCACCTGTTTGGCCAATGAGGTGGAAGCTAGAGCTGTGGGGAGGGGGCGGGGAGGGGGGGTTTGCCCATATGCCTTGCTGTTTCAGGGAGGAAGCTCTGGGTGCGATGCTCTTGGACTGAGCCCACCACGACTCAGAACTGCCTGCCTTCCACTCTCAGTGGTACCCCAACCCACCATCTCATCTTGCCCAGTGGCAGGGCTGGGAGGCTGGCGAACGCCAGCAGGGGCATCCTTTCCCTCTCAGGTCACTAGTGACTGCTCTTCCTTTCCTAATAGTCTAAGGAGATCTGCTCTCTGGAGAGTCACTGACCCTGGCAGGTAAGTATGGACTTCCCGCTCCTTGTGTAACATCGTCTTCCCCTTTTCGCTGTGTACGGTGTTGTGGGCTTCAGAAGCTGGAACTCTCTTGTGTCATGTGCATTCCCACTTTGCCAACATAGCCAGAAATCCACGGCAGCTTTTTCCAGGTTTCATTCCCATTTGTGTCTCCATAATAGATATGAATAGCAGGCATCCCAAGAGCAAGGAGAAAGGCCCTAGGCCAACTCCCTGGTCCCAGAAGCAAACAAAGACTTCTTGGACTTTGAAAATGTCTTTCTGGCTTGTCCCCTGGACTAACAGGAAACTGCTTTGAGTCCTGGCAAGGGGTTCATGCCAGTCGCCCATTCGAGCCTCCATCGTGTATTGCCAAGGATCAGGCCTTGCCTCGTGTAAAAGAGGCATTTTTGAAGGAGACAGCACCAAAATGCACAGCAGCAACCATAGTTCATGGCAATTTAGAGACTGGCAGGCGAACGCCAACAGAGGCTCACCCGTTGCTGCTACAGCAGGCAAGAGGGTGATGGAAAGCCATCCTGAGGAAAAGGATGGGCGCCTAGCACACCTTGCAGTGGTCTGGGCTGGAATGCCAGAGAAGAAAGCACGGCCAGCATGAAAAGTCACAGGCTCCAGACTTTCACTAAAGCAAATCAGTGAGTTACCTTGTGCAGAATAACTCAAGCCAAGATCTTCATACAAAATATGCTGCATTTGTATTACCGAGAGTTCAGCCTCGGATTAGACTGCCGAATCAGAATTGTGCATGCAGCAAACCAGCTGTGGGGGCAGCCGGAGAACCCAGACAGACGGTGCATCGGGACAACGGCAGAGCAGTGGTGCGGGGCCCTCGCCTCCATGGGCAGAAATAATAGAGCGGAATGACTGCATGCCAGCCAGAGCAGTTCACAGTAATGTTAGGCTGCTACTGCTTCCAGGGGCGATGGAGTCATTGATAGAGGCTTGGCTAAGCCACTTCAGATGCAGCTAGAAAGGGTGGTTTCCACTTGGAGGGAGTGTCCCATGCATGATGCTTAAGTGATTGCTTTGTCTTCCAGTGCTCCAGCATCTGTTTAACTTGAAGGCCGTATGCGGCGCCCTTCCACAGTCCGCCTTGCATTTAACAGTCTTTGTCTGCAGATAAATTGCATGTGTGAAAATGTTCTAGATCATGTGCATCAACGCAGCATATGCTTGAATGACCTTGAATCTCTGCAGCGGCTTGGCCAAAAATATTAAGTCGAGGGTTTGTGGGCGCCCTGCCAGTCTGACATTTCCTCTGCACCTTCATTCTGTCAAACTGCAAAGCTCTGCTTTCACTGGTGACGTTTGATTTTAATGCAGTCCTGAGAGTTTCCAAGTGTCTCCATGCACATCTAGAGTGCTTTTCATCACTAGCAAGTCATTACAGAGAGCCCTGAAATCACATGGCCATGTTTCCAGAAAGAATCTGCAATAGCTCCTTCTCCTGAAATTAAGACCCCTGGAACTTGGGATGCTTTCTGGGGAGTAGCTTTGATCAACCCTCTTCACAGAAAGAGACACAGGCTGCCTTATTATTATTATTATTATTATTATTATTATTATTAACATTTCTATGCCGCCCCTTGCCGAAACCTCGGGGCGGCTTACAACATGATAAAATACATTGAAATACAATAGTACATAATAAATTACCATTACATATAAAAATACAAAAAATACATTGATTTACAAATACAAAATTAAAATTATCAGTATAAAATAAAAATATAGGAGGAGAAAGAGAAGGAAGAAGAAGTTGCCCAGGCCAGATCATATGTTTTAACAATTGAAATGATGTTTAAATAAAAAGGTCTTTACCTGGCGCCGAAAAACCAGTAACGACGGTGCCAGGCGGACCTCTTTGGGGAGTGAATTCCATAGGTTGGGCGCCACCGCAGAGAAAGCCCTCCTCCGGGTACTTACTCTCCTAATTTCTTTCATGGAGGGTTCCCGGAGAAGGGACTCTCCCGCAGATCTCAAAGGCCAGATCTCTAGGGAGCAGATGATGTGGGACTGCAACTCCCATTATGCCTCAATGTGGCCATGCTAGCTAGGGCTGGGGGAAACTGCAGTCCAACGACATTTAGAAGATAGTAATATGCTTCCCACCTCATGTGCGGGTGATGACCTATAAAGCCCTAAAGGCCTGGTTACCTGAAGGAGCATCTCCTTCCATATGTGTCTTCCTGCCCCTTAAGATCTGGCGCAGACGCCCTTCCCTGGGAGCCCGCCCTGAATGAGATTAGGAGGGTAACTACCCAGAAAAGGGCCTTCTCTGTGGTGGCACCCCGATTGTGAAATTTGCTCCCCAGAGAGGTTCGCCTGGCACCGTCACTTTATTCTTTTCAGTGCCTGGCTAAAACCTTTTTATTCTCCCAATGTTTTAAGATTTGATTGTTTTAATTGGGGTTTTATTGTTGGTTGGAAATTTTATTAGGATGCTGTGCTTCCTTTTATTTCATATTGTCTTGTTGCTAAACTGTCCCAAGACCACAGTAAGGGAGTCTAGAAAATTTTAAATAAACAAACAAACAAATAGTCCGTGGACCAGCACTGGCTTTGTAAGCAGTGGTGCAAATAGACAATCTTCAACTTTGGACTTTATGGTCTTATGGATACCCCCTTAAGCTGGCATTGCGTGTCTGGAATACAACCCACTGCCCTGAGGTCACACACCACTGCCCCATAGGGATAAATACGTCTAATCTTATAATCCAGAGAGGGAGCCTCCAGGAATGTGAGTCCCACCCATTAAAGGTGTGATCTGGGCCTGTGTTCACTCACATTTTCTCTCTCCTGTCTCTGCAGTACAGACGCTGCGACAAACGGCTCTTGAACAAGTGTGAGGACCTGGGCATTGACTACGCCAACATAGACTTCACCAAGCTGTCCACCAAGGACAGCTACACCCTGACGGAGGAGCTGGCTGAATATGCAGAGATCCGAGTCAAGTGAGGCCTTCCCCCCACCCCACAACCACGGCAGCTCCCACAGCCCTCCACCCATTGGAACTGTTGTAGTCTAATGAAAGCCCTGGCCACGCGTCTTGGCCAAGCAGCCCAGCTGGCCACCCTGAGACATCCCAGCCCCACCAAATGGCTTTGATGTCCTGATTTTGAGTGCATTTTCCCCTTCCTTGGAGTACGTACCGAAAATCACGTTAAAGCAGAATAGTTTGTCCACTTTTCGCAAGCTTCTTTGGGATATCCCATCAGAACAGTAAGGGGGTGGTCTCAGCCCACTTTGGCAATGGCACACTGACGATACGCAGTGTGTCGACTCTAATCCTCGCTACTGACGTGTGCAGCTGGGAGCTGATTCTAGATGGTGATCACCACTGTGAGATTAACCCACCTGGCATAAATTGAGTAATCTCAAGTATGCACCTGCGCTGTTCCGAAAAGCAGCCAGCTTCAATCCGAAGCTTCCATTTCATATTTGAGACCCAGCTTTTAGGCATCTCTAAGCTCTGGGAACCAAACTCTGTTTCAGGCGCGCTAACAAGCCAATATCCTACATTTAAAAAATATCAGGAAGGTGCTTAGAGATGTCCAGTTATTTATTTATATGTATCCTGGGCAAAACAATTCCCTTCTACCTGCCCCATGTGGTCTTCATTTACAGGATCAGAGGGAAGTGAAGTGGTGGTAGGAGCAGCTGCAGAGATCATGCCCAGTCATGCACCCAGAAGAGTTTTTTCCAGGCGTGCATTGATCGGTTGCACTTCCCTTCTGCATCCATAAAGCAGACAACCCAGCTATAATGCCTAGAACGCGGCTGTTTAACCTCTTTTGCCCAGAGGCCAAATTCATTCCCCCAGTGGGCAGAGCCATAAGCAAAAGGGGTGGGGCCCCAGATACCCAAATATTAGAACTTAAAGCTGTTACTGCAAGTCACTAAGCCTTTGGGGAACCATTCCCACTTTTTCGAACTGGAAAGAATTGCAAAAGCCGGAAAACTACTGAATGATGATTGGTCAGGGGACAGAGGATGAGGGCCAGGAAAGGGGACGTGGCCAACTGGGGGAGCCTGAAAAGCTGGATTGGGACCCCAGGTTGGCCGGATTTAGCCCACGGGCCTGAGGGTCAATGGCACTGGCCTAGAATGTACATTCCATTTCAAAATAGGGTCTCTTCAGCCTTCCATACTGCGCCAATGGTGTTCACAGGTGACCTTGCAGATGCTCCCTAGCCTTTTACAGCATCTTAACCTCTGATACCAGGATACAGGACTACAGCATCTGCCCATTTCTGCTGCCAACTTGCTGTTCCGTCTTGTGGTACTTATATTCTTTTGGATGCATCCTCTTCAGAGGGCAAAGGGCCTACCTTGAGCTGTTCAAACTCAGCAAAACAGGTCACTGCTCTTGGCTGTGTTAACCAGAACAGCATCCCAGCTATCTTTGATAGTGCTGGAAGAGATAAAAGAAGCATCTTTGATTCCTCAAACCAATCGACAATACTAGCTGTATGTATCTCATGACTTTCTGGAGTCATAAGTCTTACGTTTAAAAACCTAACCTCTCATTAGTAAATTTCCTCTTTAGCTAGAAGACAAATAAACATTGTAGGTAATTGTGTTACTCCATTACTGAGAGGGAAACAAAAACAATCCAAAAGCCACAGTTTGGTGACACATTTATTAGAAGCTAACCAACCATTTCACAAAGGAATGGGCAAGTTTTTGAGTTCCCCAACACTGAAGAGTTCTGCAGAACTCAAAGGCTCAATCACATTTCCAACAGTTCTAATAAATAATAAAGAAATCTCCATATCACAATTGGAGCCTCTCCCAGAAGGAATCCAGCAGTTCCCGCTCACCCTTTAATTTTTTTTTCAAGACAACTCCTGCTTTTCAAGCTAGTTTAATGATACGTGATGCCCTTCCTCTGCCCCAGCATAGAGAGTCAGGCATCTGAAGTTCACATCATGTTTCTCCTATGGTAGCGAAAGTGACTGTCGCTCCTACAG